GGGAGACCAAGCCCTGTAGCCCTGTCACAAAGCTGATTCTCCAAGCCACACTGAGCCTGGTTAAAGGCAAGGCAAATTCTGCCAGAAACAAAGGCAGAGAGGAAGAGGGGGTTGTGTCCTATGTGCCTCTTGGTGCCGCTGCTGACACAGCACTTACCACGAGGGACCCTCCCGAGCTCCTCCCATGCCAGCTAGTTCTGCCACCTTTGCCACAGCTCCCGAGCCCCCTCCTAGGGCGCCTTCCCAGAAGTCTGTAGTAGCTCTCAGCAGCAGTGCTCTCCTCTACTTTGTCTCCCTCAGTTCCATGGCAGTGGATCTATTCCAGCCCCCTCCTAACCCACACACACACTGTGTAGACAGACTATTTCAAACGTGTATGGGATCACATCACACCCATCTACTTAAAGTTCCTCAGTGGCTTCCTGCTGCTTTTAGAATCACAGGACAAGACAAATGTGGTTGCGAGGCTTGGCCTGGTCTGGGTCCTACCTCTGTCTCTTTCTGAGCGCCTTCACCATGTTCTCCTGTGCGCTTCCTTTCAGCTGTGCTGGCCGTCTCGCAGGGCCTTTAGTGATCACACACCGCTTTCCCTGCTCAGAACACATTCCTCCCCCTTTCCGTCGGTCAGCTCCTCTGAGCCTGTAAGGTTGGGAAAGGCTAACCTGACCTTCTCCACTAGGTCACACCTCCTGCTATCAATTGGCCTCAGAGCTCCCAATCTGGTTTCATAACCTGGTTGTCATTTGACATTAGTGTGATCCTTGGTCAGGAGGTACTGAGGGCAGCAGCAACACATTTCTTTACACGTTTGAAATTACAATAGAGTCACATTTTGGGGAGAGAAGATTCTACGGTCAGTTTTAAGCTAAATGCGCATATGATATAGGACCGGGGTAGCCGCTAGAGCACACTTTTCTAAATATAGCCTTTAAAGTGATTTTTTCCACATGGTTCTAATTTTATAAGTAGAATATAGAGTATGCTATGTAAAAAAACACTTGCATATAAAAACAGAGTGGAAAGAAATTCTATAAAAATGACCACCCTGGCTCAATTAGGTTAGTGGTAGTATGTAGGCTATTTTCTCTACCATCCTGCAATATTTCTGAATATTTGGCAAACTTTATAACCATAATAAATAGATTTCTTTTGGGAGAGGGACGAGAAGAAAGGTTTTCTCACCTGGAGAACAAATGCCATCTGCATCTAAAATTTCATGTCGCCAGATGGGTTTCCTTGTAGCGGCATCCAGCATGGGCCCCATCACTTTATCAAACGTTTGATTGGTGTAGCGTTTCAGAGTACATTTAGCATTCTTATACACAAGGCAGCGCCCAAAGCCTAAAGCCAAACAAGAAAGGTGCATCAGAACAATAAGAAAAACCACTGGTTTGTGTTAGTTACCCCACTCCCCGCATAAAATAAACAAAAATTTCAGGCTTACTCTGTATTTGCATAATCATACTGGGTTCTGCTTTGGGCTGTTAACCAAAAGGTCAGCAGTTTGAAACCACCAACTACTCCAAGGGAGAAAGATGAGGCTTTCTGCTCCTATACAGAGTCTGAGGCTGGGAAACCCACAGGGGCAGGCCTGCCCTGTCCTAGAGGCCACAGTAAGTCAGAAGGCAATTGAAGGCAGCGAGTTCGGCCTGTTCCTCATCTGGAAATGCAGCTCAGAGTCTCCCCAGCTGCTGTCGGCAGACGCTGGAGTCTCTTCCAGCCCCTTCAGCATGGAGCAGACCTGGCTATGTAGGAGGTGGT